GAGTCATAACCTGTATCAAGCTCACCCTCGTGCGTCAAAAGTAAACACAGTCAGTTTATAAATACATTTCCCTCGTCTGGAATACCTGATCATCATTTTCCCCAAAGTAGTTACCGTATATATATAAAGTATGAAATAGAGTCAAAGGTTTAAGAATTTTTCCATTTTCTTTATAACTTTGGGTCAAAAGTTCCGGAACAACAAACAAACGCCAGACGTAATGACGGACGACCGGCAGTAGAGTTTGAAAATCTCCAACTTATAAAACAAAACTTTTTATACAAGAAAGAATAAACTAATTTACGTGTTTGTATATATTAGCACATTGTAACACTGTACACTAAGCGTCACACATTGTAACACTGTACACTAAGCGTCACACATTGTAACACTGTACACTACGCGCCACACACTGTACTGTACACTGGCATAACGTTTATGTAGTATTACAAAATTAATATTGGATGACCTGATTATTAGTCCCCCAGTTTATTTCACCTAATGATTAAACACCTGAACGTGGTACACACACTCACCTCCCACAGTACACAGGTGATGGAGGTGGTGTTGTGGTGGAGGTGGTGTTGTGGTGGAGGTGGTCATGTGGTGGAGGTGGTGATGTGGTGTGGTGTAGGTGGTATTGTGGTGGAAGAGGTGGTGGTGGTGGTGGTGGTGGAGGAGGTGGTGGTGGTGGTAGTAAAGGTGTGGCGGTGGTGGTGTTGTGGTAGTGGTGGCCTCCCGCTGAGCTCCGCCTACTAAAACCGAGGCAAACTGCAACTTTAATGGGGATTATACTTATCGGAGACTGCCTCCCTCACCTCCCCGCCTCCCTCACCATCCACCCTCCCTCACCACCCACCCTCCTCACCACACTATCCTTCCAGCCCCCATCCCTCCCATACTATCCTTCCTCCCTCATCTCCCCGCCTCCCTCACCCTCCCCGCCTCCCTCACCTCCCCGCCTCCCTCACCTCCCCGCCTCCCTCACCTCCCCGCCTCCCCTCCTCGTCACCATAAGCCAGTGCCTTCATAAACAAACAGACAATGATCAAGGGAGTGATATATATACACACTTGGTACAATCTTTATGGCGGGGGGAGGGTAATGGCGTCACAAAGGTGTTGATTAATGAGGTGGATCTACCTGGTGGCGCTAAATCATCACTATTGTTGTTTACGTTCGACTGTTGGCACCTGTGACCACCTGCCCGCCTCTCCCATGTTAATTACTACTATTACCTGTATTCTTCTTATAATTATTAAGAGTAAGAGTCCTCATCATCATCATCATCATCATCATCATCATCATCATCATCATCATCATCATCACCATCACCACCCCACACACACTCCCTCACTGTGTCCAGCAAGGGCCCTCATCATAATACTTAGTGCCGTACCCTGAGTGCCACTAAACCCCAGTACCAGGAGGAGGAGGAAGAGGAGGAGGAGGAGGAGGAGGAGGAGGAGGAGGAGGAGGAGGAGGAGGAGGAGGAGGAGGAGGAGGAGGAGGAGGAGGAGGAGGAGGAGGAGGAGGAGAGTGGTGCAGCATTATCACCACTACAACTATCCCCACCACCATCACTACAGCTATCACCACCACCATTACCACCATCATTACAACTATCCCCACCACCATCACTACAGCTATCACCACCACCATTACCACCATCATTACAACTATCCCCACCACCATCACTACAGCTATCACCACCACCATTACCACCATCACTACAGCTATCACCACCACCATTACCACCTACAGCTATCACCACCAACCCTATCATAACTAATAATATCCCTATCACCATTACTATCACCACCACCACCCCTACCACCAACAGGGGCAGGCTGGCACTGGTGGCACCCCCAGGCACTTTAGGTGTTTTCGTCAATACTGAAGGAGGGTTAAAGGCGTCAGGGTGCCACCTCTGAATGACAATGAGAATCGTGGTTCAATAGGTCACCCATGATCTGCCGGTCTGTGGAGGTCACCAGAGTATGTGTGGAAGTTGTGGAGGTCACTAGGGTGTGTGTGAAGGTCGTGGAGGTCACTAGAGTGTGTGTGGAGGTCGTGGAGGTCACCAGGGTGTGTGTGTGAAGGTCGTGGAGGTCACTAGAGTGTGTGTGGAGGTCGTGGAGGTCACTAGTGTGTGTGTCGGGAGGTCACCAGGGTGTGTGTGTGTGGAGGTCGGAGGTCACTAGGGTGTGTGAAGGTCGGGAGGTCACTAGAGTGTGTGTGGAGGTCGTGGAGGTCACCAGGGTGTGTGTGTGAAGGTCGTGGAGGTCACTAGGTGTGTGTGGAGGTCGTGGAGGTCACCAGGGTGTGTGTGTGAAGGTCGTGGAGGCTACTAGGGTGTGTGTGGAGGTCGGGAGGTCACCAGGGTGTGTGTGAAGGTCGTGAAGCCCTAAGATTCGTCACAGGTGAGATACCCCTTCACCAGAACCACAGCCGAGATACATAGAGACCTGAGAATAAAACCCATCAACCAGCAGCTGCACACCCCGGCCAGCAGAGTCTGACAAAAGATAGAACGATCAGAGCAAGAACTCCTTCAAAGACTCCCACCAGACAACGACAACAACCATACATGGTTCCCAAAAAGTTACCAAATCTCAAAAGGTCCATTACCACCCCCAATCTATACGGCCAGGCAATAGACAACCTCCCTAGACCAACATCCGCCAGTAGGGTCGGCGGAATATGAAATAAGGCCCTCAAAACAAAAACAAAAAACAAGAAGCATTACAGAACATCATCATCAAAAAAAGCTAAATCCTCCAAGCCCTTGCCTACTATATACCCTTTGTAAATAAATAAACTACAAAAAATACAATGGAAAAAAATACAAAATCAAATACAAAACTCGGGTCTGTATTATACCAAGAGACGTAAAAACGGTTATGTGATGTTCATGGTCTGACCTTAAGAGATTATTCCCTCTAGATTAATTCACTCGAGAGGAACACGGGAAGATGTCGCTGTCAGGTGGATACAAACTCAAGAGCGCTGTGGTGGTGTGGCGGCAGCTGTTACCTCCCGTGTATCATCAGCCCTGTCTATAGCTGTTAGGTTAGGTTAGGTTATGGTAAGTTAAGTTTGGGTAGAGGAAGGAGAGGAAAGGAGAACGCAGATATAGGGAGGAGAGAGGAAAGGGAAGGGGAAAGAGGGAGGAGGAAAAGGGAAAAGAGGAAAGGAGAAAGCAGATAGGAGGGAGGAGAGGGAAGAAGAAAGCAGGTATAGGGAAAAGGAAAGAGGAAAGGGAAGGAGGGAGGGGAGGGAGAATGAAACAGGTAGAGGGAAGAAAGGGGGAAGAGGGAAGATGAAACAGGTAAATGGGGGAGGAAGCGTAAAAGTCCTCCCTTCCCGTCCCAACACAAGAGGCGGGCCAGCAGGTAACACAGGGACCCGCCAGTTTAATTAACATAGTCAGCGCGCCGGCCGGAATCCTAAGGTCGTCCCGGAAGGCTGCCCAATTTCCACCTAATGCTAATAATTGTTCCTGGTTGGTCGACTCCCAAAAACTCTCTCATATAATCGGGTCTCAGAGATGATGGTGTGGACGCTGCCAGCCTCCACAAACACGGACTTAAGGCGGTGTTAAGCCTTTACTCTGTACCGCCTATGTATACACTCGCTATGTACTATGTGTTATCAAGTACAGTGTTAACCCTAAGCTGCATTGTAACACGTACAGTAGCTCTTGTCTCTCACTCTACATACAGATGCTGGGATTTTTTAAAGGATTTCCATAATTTTTTTTTTTCATATGATTATATGTGTTGACTTTAGATAAATTGTTACTTGTCTCTACTATGACCCGTGACCGCGGGACAGTGTCCTCTGAGCCCCGGGGGAGGTCTTAACACCTTCACTACAGGGACTACCACTGTTATTATTTAAATTGGTTAACGCCAGACTATTTTATTCAGCTCAGAGAGGAACCCGTACACAAGGAACAACTCCCAAGGTAGATTTTTATAGTAAACGTTGTTTGTACCCAACTTATGATCGTTTCCTATCACAAAACATTATATGACCTCTCGTTGCAAGGTAACTTCTGCCTCCGGCTCTCACTTTTATGTTCTGGCTACCTGAGGAGGTGGCGGTGAGGGTGAGGCAACCTGAGGAGGAGGTGGTGAGAGTGAGGCAACCTGAGGAGGTGGTGGTGAGGTGAGGCAACCTGAGGGAGGGAGGTGGGAGGGTGGGAGGGGCAGGAGGTGGCGGGGGAGGGGAGGGAGGGCAACTTGGAGGAGGAGGTGGTGAGGGTGAGGCAACCTGAGGAGGTGGTGGTGAGGGTGAGGCACCTGAGGAGGAGGTGGTGGGAGGGTGAGGCAACCTGAGGAGGTGTGGTGGTAAGGGTGAGGCAACCTGAGGAGGAGGTGGTGGAGGTGAGTAACCTGAGAGGAGGGTGGGAGGGGAGGTAACCTGGGAGGTGGGTGGGTGGGTGAGGCAACCTGAGGAGGGAGGTGGTGAGAGTGAGGCACCTGAGGAGGTGGTGGTGGGAGGGTGAGGCAACCTGGAGGGAGGTGGTGGGGAGGGGTGGAGGTAACCTGAGGAGGTGGTGGTGAGGGGTGAGGCAACCTGAGGAGGAGGTGGTGAGGGGAGGTAACCTGGAGGAGGTGGTGGTGAGGTGAGGCAACCTGAGGGAGGAGGTGTAGAGGTGAGGCAACCTGAGGAGGTGGTGGTGAGGGGGTGAGGTGCCTGGAGGAGGTGGTGGTGAGGGTGAGGGGCAACCTGAGGGAGGTGGTGGTGAGGGTGAGGCAACCTGGAGGAGGTGGTGGTGGAGGGGTGAGGCAACCTGAGGAGGAGGTGGTGAGGGTGAGGCAACCTGAGGAGGTGGTGGTGAGAGTGAGGCAACCTGAGGTGGTGGTGAGGGTGAGGCAACCTGAGGTGGTGGTGAGGGTGAGGAGGATCTACAGTACACAGCTTCATCATCAGTGTCTAATACAATTATTCTAAGAAACAAAAGTTAAAAGTTAAGATAGTGGAGGACGTACCTGCTGCCAGTGGAGTTGCTTGAAGGGCGTGGCCAGTGTGGCGGCGAGGGCCGCCTGGCCCGCCGGCAGTGCCACGCCGTAGGTCAGTGCCAGTGGAGTCGACACGGGAGTCAACGCGTAAACGAGGAAGGCGACGAAGGTGGCATGCCAGACACCTTGTCCAGCAGTAGGCAGCGTCTGCCAGCCGACCCAGCTCCAACTGGAGGGTAGGGGTAGGGCCAGGGCAACCAGAATGGCCCCGAGGGCCAGTATCAGGTAACAGGCGGGCATAAGATATGAGTGTCGCATGAGCCGCGAGTGTAGCACCACCAGGAGCACGGCCAGCACCACTGACAGCACCAGCAGGGTGATGGGCGCCGGCGCCGCCACCTGGGCGTAAGTTACATGTAGGGCGGCCAGCAGCAGCGACAGCAGGAGCAGGAGGGCGGAGGCGGCCGCCACGCTGGCCTGCTGCAGCTTGAGCGTGTAGCGGCGGTAGAGCTCCTCCAGCTCGTCATTTTCAAAGCGGTGTTTGTGGCAGAGCCGTGAAAAGGCCACCTTCCGGTGTGGGGTCATGGCCTTCACGCTGTGGTCCATCCTGCCGGCCGCACCTCACCACGCCCACGCCCACCGACCAGCGCCCCGCCCGCCCACCACGCGCCCACACATCACCTGAAACAGAGAGACAAATGTCATTTCACAAGATATACACCTACAGTACATCCTGGATGATGGTCATGTTCTCCTACAGCCTAAGGCACAATACTAATGGGACGAAACACACGACAATAATAAAGAGGAAGATGAACACACAAGGTTGGCAGCAACAACAGAGGCACTAACAATAACAATATCAATAAAACAAGTTTATAAAACACAAACATTTATCCTACAAGTAAACATCTCACCATCACACACACACGTCATGTTTCACTCAACTGGTAAAAACATCCGAAACATTAATATTTTTCTCCTGAACCAAAAGAACATCACACACGCCATTATAAATAACTAGAGGACAGCGCCTTTACACCAGCCCGTACGTGAGGCACCTACATAGCGCACCTCAGGCGGTAGGTACTGAGGTGGAGGGAGAGTAAAGTGCATGTTGGAACTCAAGCCTTCAAAGGTGTGTGCTAGAAGCCAGGTAATACTCAGGTGGGAGGATTTACCTGGTTCCACACCTTGTACCTTCCCCCTCCACCACAACATGCACCTCCCCCCACCACACCATGCACCACTACACCATGCACCTTCCCCACCACACCATGCACCCCACACACACCATGCACCTCCCCCACCACATGCACCACTCACACCATGCACCTCCCCCACCACACCATGCACCCCCCACCACACCATGCACCCCACACCATGCACCACCACACCATGCACCTCCCCCCACCACACCATGCACACCACCACACCATGCACCACTTCACACCATGCACCCCCCACCACACCATGCACCTCCCCCACCACACCATGACCCCCCACCACACCATGCACCACTACACCATGCACCTCCCCACACACCATGCACCCCCCCACCACACACCATGCACCTCCCCACCACACCATGCACTCCCCCACCACACCATGCACCACTACACCATGCACCTCCCCCCCCACCACACCATGCACCACTACACCATGCACCTCCCCCCCACCACACCATGCACCACCACACCATCATGAACTCCATAACACATTACACTATCCCCCACACCGTAATGCACTTCCGGCAGACTCCCTCAGGCTCTGCCGTGCTGGCTGCCGGTTAAAACACACCCGGTGCTTCTACCCGTTTATACCGGCCAAAATACCTGTCATCATGTGTCACGTTTACCGGTAAAAACACGCAGGAAATACACTCGTTGTATACAGGAATAATGTGTATGAGGGAAGGCGTATTTTGACCACACTACTAATACACACAAGTTATAAACATGAATATCCGGTATTGGCGGAAAAGAAAGTGCACACACACACACACACACACACACACACACACACACACACACACACACACACACACACACCACCACCAGAAGCTGTCAGCACCTCACCTCACACGTCATGCTGATCACTGGCTAGTTGACACCCCCAGGAAGCAGCGACTGTCAGCTCCTCACGGGTAAATTGGGTCATTACACCTTGGCGAGGCGTTTCATGAGGTAAATGGCCCACCTTAAGTCGCCTAATTTTCCAGGTGACTATTTTCCCCTGACTTACGTTTCCTTATTTAAGACTATTTCCCTCCCCCCGACTTATTTATGACTAATTTCCTTGACTTATTTTCCTTATATAAGACTAATTTTCCTCCGACTTATTTTCTTTATTTAAGACTTTTTTCCCTTGTCTTACTTTACATAAGACTATTTTCCTCCCGACTTATTCTTCCCTAGTTATCGCTTGGTGAGGCGCCATAGTCACCCCTGCACGGTGTCTGTAAGGCAGGTTACTCATGCAGGGAGAATAATATTTTCCAGGTGGATGTGATCTTAAAATACCTGTAATTTATTCTCCTCAGGTGATGTTATCTCCCACATAAGGTCTCCAACTTACCTTACCCTTAATAATTCTTCTTCTTTTTCTTTCTTCTCAATTATCGCTTCCTGTCGGTCTTTCCTGCTTCCTTGCCTAGCATTCTGTGGCGTGAACAGGTCCTTATCTCGAGCTCGCAGCGTCCCTCTCCCTCCCTCCTGCCTCTTCCTCACCCCTCCCTCCTTCCTCTCCCTCACCCCTCCCTCCTTCCTCTCCCTCACCCTCCCTCCTTCCCTCCTCCTTGCCTCCCCACCCCTCCCCCTCCTTGCCCCTCTCCCCCTCACCCCTCCCTCCCTGCCTCCCCCCCCCTCACCCCTCCCTCCCTCCTCTCCCCACCCCTCCCCCTCCTTCCTCTCCCTCACCCCCTCCCTCCTTCCCTCTCCCTCACCCCTCCCTCCTTCCCTCTCCCCCTCACCCCCTCCTCCCTTCCTCCCTCTCCCCCACCCTCCCTCCTTCCCTCATCTCTCCTCTTCTTCGTCTTCATCCTGCCTCTTCTCCTCTCATCACCCCATCCCCTTCTCTCTCTCCTTCCCTGTGCTCCATCAACCTAATCGCTCTTCCTCCCTCTCCCCTCCTCCCCATCATCTCACCTCTTCCCCATCACCTCTCCTCCTCCCTCCCCCCTCCTCCCCATCATCTCACCTCTTCCCCATCACCTCTCCTCCTCCCTCCCCCCTCCTCCCCATCATCTCACCTCTTCCCCAACCCCTCAGTTAAGTGGCCCTCGAGCCGCCATAGATGGGTTCAATTCCCCCGTTCATTAGATGTTAGGGCCGCCGGCAGGAGAAGAAGAGGAGAAGGGGGAGGAAGAAGCGAAAGAGGAGGAAGAGAAAGAAAAGGAGGAAGAATAAGTAGGTAGCAGAGAAAATGAAGGAAAGAGAAGGAGCGGAAGATAAACTATTCCCTTTAAACATATTTATCTATTAATCCAAGTATAATAATAATACATCTCTCTCTCTCTTCGTGTTAGTGTGTATAAGGTTTGTTGTTATCATGAGTCGGTGACGTCAGCAGAAGGGGGGGGTGCAGGTAGCGGAAGGACAGGTTAATGAGCCGCGTCCACCTGTCACCCACATAAACACTCTTGATCCCTGTGTCCCTGAGTACCTCCACCACTCCTCCTCCATCACCACCACCTCTTCCACCACTCCTCCTCCATCACCACCACCTCTTCCACCACTCCTCCTCCATCACCACCACCTCTTCCACCACCACTCCTCCATCACCACCACCTCTTCCACCACTCCTCCTCCATCACCACCACATCTTCCACCACCACTCCTCCATCATCACCACTCCTCCATCATCACCGCCTCCTCCACCACACACTTGCCCTTCCACCTCCCACCAACTACTGTAAAACTCACTCCAGGAATAACACCGCTAACACCTTTATTTTTTTTAATTAAATCAAACACACCAAAACACACTTATTACACCACTAATTATTCACATCTCTCTTCATTATTCACTAGGGTTAGACTCACACCTGGGAGAGTACAGGTAATAATGGCCTCTCATGTTTTCTTTATTCATCATATATTTTTCATTTATTCTCTATGTACATTAGTCTGAAAATGTTCCCAGTTACTTAACCCATCACCCCAGGTAGCTCAAGGGTGGTTAATCTTCAGGTGAAATAAGCTCAGGTGAGGCGAGGGGGACTAATCTACAGGTAATCCGCGTCGCTGTAATTTCCTAAACAGTGAACAGGTATAGATCGTGTCGCCATGGGTCGTCGCACTCAACAAAAGGTCACAAAACAGTCTCGTCTTTCCCTCATTGTTTAAAGACGTTTCAGTGGCCACACACCCAAGTCAAACACCCCGACAACTTCCACATTTACGCCGGAAACAAGAAGGTTGGCTCGCAGTCTACTGACGGAGGGGAGGAGGAGGAGGAGGGGTAGAAGGTGTAAGAATAATAAGAGGATGAGGGAAGAAGGGGGGAGGAGAGAAAGGAGGAGGATAAGGAGGTGAAGGAGAGTCGTGACAGAAGGAGAGGGAGGAGGGGGAAACTGAGGGAAAAGAATACAGCTCCCAACACTTCACCTTGAGCAGAACAAGAACAATCAGTAACTTACACCTCCTCCACCTCCCTTAGTGCCAACACACGTACAGGTATACTCATGCAGGTGGTAATTGTCACACCTGGAGGAGGGAGAGAGGGAGCGGGTGAGGGAGTTTCGATACCACTTCACTCGACTCCCTCACCACAACCCAACTGTGTCTTTCAACCATTTACCTGAACACACAATCCTATTCTCTCCTAATCTTGTTCCTGCCTTAATAACCCTGAGGGTCTTCCTTGTCCCGTCCGCAGCTGTTAGGACACACACACACACACACACACACACACACACACACACACACACACACACACACACACACACACACACACCTCTACATATCTACTCTCTCAGTCAGTAAGTTAGTGTCGTAGCTGAGTCAATTTTAGTCAATCAATTAGTCAGTCAGTAATTTTAGTCAGTCAGTTTAATCAGTCAGTCAGTAACTTTAGTCAGTCAGTCATTCGGCCGGCCAGCCAGCCAGTTTAATCAGTCAGACGTTCATATTGTTAACTAAAGCAATCCCCCAAAATTAACTCGTAACTCTTGACAAAAAAAATGAAATATTTACTCTTGAGATTAATGTTCACAAGACAAATACGCTTAATTCACATATAACTCTGAATAATATTTTACCCAGAAACTTTTACACCGACAAAAGATCTTACCTGCCCGAGTCTTAACTACAGGTGGAGGAGTACTTGCTGGTGTGCAGTTTGTGACGCTTGTGTGACGCTTGTGCAGTTTGTGACGCTTGTATGGAGTTTGTGACGCTTGTGTGGAGTTTGTAACGCTTGTGTGACGTTTGTGTGGAGTTTGTAACGCTTGTGTGGAGTTTGTAACGCTTATGTGACGTTTGTGTCATCAGTGTGACGCCTCTAAATGAACGTATCTAAGGAAGGCAGAGTCTCGGTACATTCTGACGCCATTTTGTTGTGGGTTACGTCCACCATTTAAAATAAATTTTTCGACCTTTATTTACGAGGAATAATTCATAGTAAGAACCTTTGAAAACTCTGAACCCT